GACTTTATGGCCAACCAGTTGGGTGACTACGAAATGCTGGCTTCCATGGCGGGCGGCGGTCTGGAAGCCGTGGTTGATGTAAGTGTCGTCGTTCCTACCACCATTGTGGGCAATTTGCCGCTCGCTCCAACCCTCGCCGCTGCTGTGGTGACATCTCGCGCCTGATGTGTCATCGATTTGCCTTTGCTTGTGCAGGAAGCGGAAGAGGATCAGGAAATTCGGGACGAGATTGCCTGGCAAGAGCAGGAGTTGGCGGCCGTTGAGCGCTACGAGCGGCGCCTCGCGCTCATGTACACCACAAATCCAGCACTCGGGGAACCAGCGGGCACGGACGAACAGGGCTACGCCTTGCGCCGCCTTAACGACCATGTGTACCGGGTGGCACGACCCCCACGCCACCCCAACACGACCCGCCAACGCATTCTGGATCGCGCCATCCATCGTGCCCGGCGTCAACAGGAGTTACGCTCCCGATATGGCGTGCGCTCAGAGACCCGCCTCAAAGGCGCTGGTGTCTCGTCCTTGGTGCGCCGTGGTCCCCCGCGATCCAACGGCACGGGGCCCCGCACACACTTTGTGGGCACCGTCACCCCGCAAGTTCCTCTTGTTGTCAAGAACGAACCCGAGGAAGTCGATCGGAGTGGCCCACCCTCACCCAAATATTGCAAAGTGAAGGCGGAGCCAACTAGCTGAAGGAGTCGATTCTTTTTTCAACAGCGTGAAGCGCTCTGGAATTCATGTTTGACCCTGATCATTTCCACTTGACAGCTGTGCCGCAAGTCACTCATCACGTTCATGAGAACACGTAATTGCCAACGAGCTTGCACCCATCACCAACTTTTTATTTCTCTGCGCGCACCAAGCCGACTGCTAGAGGTGGCATATGGGTGCAAAGGACGCGGCAAGGCTGACTCAAGCCCTCACAAAACTGGCTCGGATCCCCCCACTTTTTGTGCGCTTTTCTCCCGATTCTCTGCTACACACACACAAGATCAATTCGCTACTTCTCGGTTGTTGACACAACATAATCGTGGACTGGGTCTGTGTGCTGATCATTGAGCAGCATGTTGCCGAGCAGGGCAAAAGGTGCAAAACCTGGGATTGCTTGAAAGAGCTTGACAAGTCGATAGTTTGAGTCAGACTCTTGAATTAAGAGATATTTCTAATTAATTTTCTCTGGCAGCGACATGATGGGCATTTGATGGCACGTCGGGATGACCGAGAACGTCGACGAGATAAAGGGCGCCGAATTCTATCGGGCACGTGAACGTCATGCGTTAAGCCTTCCGCTTCAATTGACAATCAATAATGTGAACTGATGGGAAAATTTTGAAAAAAAAAAAAAAAAAAAAAAAAAAAATCAATTCCTGAATACCTTTCTGCCAGTTTCTTTTGCTGTCGTGCGCTCATTTCACACAACACTTTCTGAATCTCAACCAAGCTGGGCCCAAGGGTTCATAAATAGATGCACTCCAGTCAGGCGCGAGAAATTTGTTTTTTTTTGACGGATAATGGTTGACAGGGCGTCAGATCAATTCATGAAGTAAGCACCGGCTTTACTTGGCAAAGGGGCCTTGCTGTTCGAGCCAGAGTTGGTAGTAGGCATAACCGGCTTCGGGGCAATACGTGTTGATGGTGTGGCCGCAGCCCTTGATCGTCATAAAGTCGAGGCCAGACCAGCGCTTGTAGCTACCGGCGACATCCTCGTTGAGGAACCAATTATCCCAATCATTCTCCTATGAAAGACGAGGATACACCAAAGTAGGTGAGTGATGTGAAGCAGGCCTGCTCCAGTCAAGCCTACAATACACCTCCCTATAGTGCGCCTCAATCCCAGGTGGCGGGGACGTACCACAGTCATGTTGAGGCAGTTGATCCAGCGCATGGTGCCCATAAAGGGGACGGCCGAGTCGGCATCACCAGAGACGACCAGGATGCGGAGGTCGGGGCGCTTCTTGAAAAACTCGGGGAAGAGAAGGGCAATATCAGCGAGCTCGCTGCCGTACTGCCACTCAGCGGGGTGGTTGGGGTACTGGCGATTGTAGTGCTGCTTGGCGTGAAGAGCCTCCACTACATCCTGACGGTTCATGTACTTTGGCGTGTACGTAGAAAGGCAAGCATCAAAGGTTGTCGACACGTTGTACTGCAGGCGCAGGTGGTGCAAAAAGGGCGAGTTGGCGGCAACCATGGCGTCGCGTTCGGCCAAGTCATCGGCTGTGATGGCAAAGGGCAGCGAGAGCGAGGTTGAGCGGATTGGCGGTGAAGAAGTCAAGAGGTGACATGAGCGCAAGCCGGGCTTGGCTCTGTTACCTACCGCTCTTATGGCAGGTCGGGGCAAGCACGCTGTAAGGATCCCAAACGCTGGGAATGTACTTGTAGGCTGCAGTGTTGGCGGCCTGGCAAGCAGCACTGGGGTGGGTAAAATCCTTGGAGCACTCGGTCAAAAAGTCCTTCCAATCGCAGGCCTCGAAGGACGCCATGTATGCATCCTGGGGCAGCAGACCGTGGCTCCAGAGGTAGGTTTGGAAGGCGTACTCGTTGATGTTGTAGTACCAATCGCTGTTGATACCCGGGTTGCCAATCAGAAACTGATTCGGAACACACAGGCAAAATCATGCATCCAGACAGTCCACCCCCCAGTGAGCAAAACTCTTGCCGTTAAAAACGTGCCGTGCATGACAGGTTAAAGAAGAACACAGGCGCAGTCGATGGCTTGTGCAGACTACTCACGCCCTTGAGGTTGAGATCGTTCTCGTTATCAATGACGCGCTGAACCAGGGTTGGCACGTAGTGGCCACCGTAGCTCTAAGGGGACACGATTGTGCGTGCGTATCGTGTGTACCATGAGCGCGGTTGAAGGCCAGCACTCTGATCTGCCCGTCAGCATCAACTCATTGAGGATGCTCTCCCCGCCCCTGTCCCGCAAAATTCAGAGCATCCAAACCTCGCCAGTGATGTAGAGGTCGTTCTTGCTAAACTGGTTGAACACCTATGGATCAAGGGTCGAGTTTCAAGTTCAAGGTGAGCGAGAACCTGGATGAGCTGGCCAGTGGGGGGTCACTCGATTCCGGGTACCTTGAAGAAGTTGAGCAGGAATTGGTAGTTGTCCCAAGAAGTAGTGGCGTCATCAACGTGATAGCGGCTGGCATTGCCAGTCCTGAAGCCACAATAACATGATTTAGAATCTCAAGATTGCCTTGAGACAATCTCCACAAGCCCAGCAGGGGGATGAGACGCACCAGCTGTAACCCACCCCAACGGGCGCCTCAATGTAAATGACGTTGGCAATGCGGTTCCACGAGTAATCAAAGAGCTCAACGTCAATGTCGGGCGTGATGCGGAAGGGACCTAGCCGGCAAAAGGGCAGGTGCGGTGAGCAGGAGCCGCCACAGGACGGCAAGTGCTTGAGCAGGACTACTGGAGGAAAGAAACTGGAGCAGGGAAGCTGGAGGCAAGCGTGGGGCCCAGCTACTCTTGCGCGCGCCAGCAGTCGGACGCACCATGCTCGGTCCAGAATCCATAAGCAATGCCGCTGCTGCCAGGACCACCGTTGGTCCACCACACGACAGGGTCGGTTTCCGGCGAACGCTGGGACTCGACAAACCAGAAGAAAAGTTCACTGTCGTTGCCCACAGGCATGTAACCTACTCCCAACGCACGCACGTCATCGGATGCGGGTGATGAGTTTGTCCAGCAGCAGGCATCAGGGCGCGCGCGATGCCAGTGCGCGGCACAGGTTTGTTTGTGTGTGTGTGTGTGTGTGCGTCTGTCAAACGGACCAGAGTACTGCTTAAAATTGAGCGTGGCATTGAGCGAAGGCAAGGAAGTAATCTCAAAGTCCGCCGGGGTCAAATCCTCCACCCGACGACCAGTGGAAGCCGTCACCAACACGGCCACCAAGGCCACCACGACCACCGCCATCTGTACTGCTCCCCGCATCATCGCTGCGAGTGTGTGAGAGAGAGAGAGAAAATGAAACGTTTTTGGAGGACATGTGGTTGGTGGCTTTTGTTCTCGAGAGAGAGAGAGAGAGAGAGAGAGAGAGAGAGAGAGAGAGAGAGAGAGAGAGAGAGAGAGAGAGAGAGAGAGAGAGAGAGAGAGAGAGAGAGAGAGAGAGAGAGAGAGAGAGAGAGAGAGAGAGAGAGAGAGAGAGAGAGAGAGAGAGAGAGAGAGAGAGAGAGAGAGAGAGAGAGAGAGAGAGAGAGAGAGATACAGAGAGAGAGAGAGAGAGATACAGAGAGAGAGAGAGAGAGATACAGAGAGAGAGAGAGAGAGAGATACAGAGAGAGATACAGAGACAGAGAGACAGATACAGAGACAGAGAGATATACAGAGAGACACATACAGACACAGAGAGAGAT